CTGGAGCCCAGGCCCCAGGCAAGCGGGGTAAGAGGACCCAGGGAGAAAGGACAGGGCCCACGGCACAGCGGGCGCAGGCCCACTGCCAGACCCTACAGGCCTACAGCCCCAGGCAAAGCCAGAAAGTCCGGTTTGGAGACCTCTTCTGCATCTCTAAAAGCTGCAGACTACAAACCCTACCCTACCCACTGGTCTGGCAGCAGGGGCTTAGGACAAGGGGTCACCAAAAGCCACCATGAGACAGGGCTGCAGGGGGCACCGTCAGCAGCACCTGGCATCCCACTGGAACAGGATGAGCTGGCCACATAGGGCAGGGCCATGTAGGCATCCCAGCCCAGCCTCATCTTCGAGATGTGGATGGGGTGACAGCTGCTACCCCCCCCCGCCCAACACCCCAATTTCCCTTTTCCCTTCCTGCATCCCCAGCTCAAGTGCGGTGTCTCCAGGAGGCTGACCTTGGCCCCAAGGTCTGGTCAGTGTCCCCAGTCCAGACCACACTGGCTGCAGTGGCTGGCTTGGGTGGGGAAGCAATTCCCAAGCTGGGCGGACGGAATGCTGCCTGTGGTTTAATCCAGAACACCAAGAGAAGCTTCCCTTCCCGGGCCACTGAGCTGTAGCTGTGCCTGGGGAGCACCCAGGTCCAGCCGTGCCTGAAGCCATTTTCAGTCAGGGAAGCCTTTGTGTTCACAAGTGAAGGAGAAACAGGAAGTCTACCAGTTGCCACCAGAGACCTAGAAAAGCAGCCTCCCCCAGAACTCTGCTGCTAAGCTGCCTGGGGCTGCCAGAGCTAGATCTTGCGCCTCCTGGTTGCAAAATAACAGGATTTCTTGGGTGCCAATCTGGCACCAACAGTGGCTCTAACGGAGACACAGCTGGCAGGGATCTGGGTCACCTCGAGGCCTGCACACCCCGCCCACAGCCCACACAGTAACCAGAGCCGCCTGGGCTTCTGGAGGAACATCCTGATCCAGTGCTCCAAAAGGGACACCTGTCCGGCTGCAGCGCAGGTGTGCTATCTCGGGTGCCTGGGCTATCCACACACAGGGCAAGCAGCCTTGCCCACCATGCCCCTGGGGGCCCCCAGCTTCCTGGCTCAGACTGGAGGACAGGACTTGTCACCCAAGCAGGAGCAGCTCGGCAGTTTGTTTCCCGGAGAGTCCTGTTTCCCACCTTGAGCCCAGCACCCACAGGCATCAACTGTTGGGGCAGCAAACATCCCTGTGGGACAATGTCTCCATGACCTCCTGCCGCATCACCCAGCCCAGCTCTGGGTGCCGGGGGTCCCCAGCATCAGGCGCTGGCCCCAGCCCTGGCAGGGCTCCAATTTCCCATGAGCCCATCACACAGCTCCCGGAGCTGCGCGGCCTCTGCCAGCCAACCGACCTTCTCTGGGCCTGCCTGAGTTTCTTTCTCTGTGACTAACATCTGGCAGAAGAGGGCATGTGAGGAGAGGGGTGTCCCCCAGAGCAGGGCAGGAGAGGCACAGCCTAAGCAACACGTTCTGGGAGGCCGTGGGTCATGTGACATCATCCTGGGACCTTGGAGCACCAGTCCCCACCTCCAGAGGCCAGGGTCACAAGTCACATCCGCTTCCCAGGGCTGCCCTGAAAATGACCACTAAGCAGGTGGCTTCAGACAACAGAAATTTATTCTCTGGGCTCTGGAGGCCGGAAGTGTGTGACAGCAAGGGTGACAGTGGGGCAGGACTGGGCTCCACCCACGCCCTGATCTCCCGCCTCCCTCACCTGTGGTGGCCATCACTCTTGTCCCTGACCTTCACTTCACAGGCTCTCTTCCATCTCCCCTCATCCCTCCTGGGGACGTGGGTCACGGACCCAGACAGGGCCCACGGGGGACCCGGGTGCGCTCCCCTCCGACTGCCTCTGCACAGATGCTTCCTGCAGGCGCTGCTGCCTCTGCCCAGCCTGGCCGAGGACGTGTGCTCCTGCCCTCAGGGCCCACCGCTCAGCCACACACCCCCACAGCAGTCCCCAGGACAAGGGCACCCTCTCACCAAGTGGTCCTGACAGGCTGGCAGCTGCTAGGCCCCGGCCTCCTCTGGGCAACAAGCGGGATTCTCACGGCTGCGCCTCTGGGAGAGGCCAGCCCGCCAGTGACTCACTCATGTCACAGGCTCAGATGTGAGGAGGGGACCCGGAACCCCAAGAGCCAGGGCCAGGACTTGGCCAGGCGCTCGGTGCCTGTGTCCCATGGGGCTGTCCAGGAGATCACACTTGACCCCAGAGGCCCTGCATGCCACTTCTCTAGTTCCTGCCAGCCGTGGCCCGGCCCACACAGCCGCCCACCCAGCTGGGGCCACAGAGGGCCCATTATGAAGCCACAGAGGGACTGAGCTCAGCTGGGAAGGGGCAGGCCTGAGACAAAAGACTGATTGTCATGCAAATAGGGGGGAAGGAGGGGCGGCTCTGCCTGCCAGCCAGCTTCACCGTGCTGGGCTCAGGCCCAGAGAGGGGCCCTCAGCCTGGGAAGAGAACCAGGGGTGATGGGTGCAGAGGCCCCACTACCCCACTGCTGCCTGCCTTCTGCCCAGCTGCGGGCCAGGAACACCGCAGGGACCAGGTAGCCGCATCCTGGGCACAGAGGTCATGTCCAAGACCTGAGTTCCAGGGTCAGAGGGTGGCCAAGCAGCCACAGAGGCAGGTGCTCTGTGCTTGCATGGGATCCGAGCCCCTGCAATGGGGGAACTGGGGATCACCTGCTGGGCACAGTTTGCTGGCACCACACCTGCTGCTTAGAAGCTGCCAGACAAGGGTGACTGGGACTCACACTCGGGACAGGAAGGGGACAGAGAAGGCGAGTGAAGCTTCAAGTCTCCCTCAGGCAAGGGGCTGGGAAGCAGCACTAGGCAGAGGCCCAGGCTGGCATCCAAGAGGAGGGAGGCAAGTGCAAGGTCCTGAAGCAGGGTGTAGGTCTCAGGTGAGAGCCTGGAAAGGCCTGGGTACCTTGCCCCTCGGTGCTCTCCCCAGTGAGCCCAGGTGTGAGACAGGCGACAGAGCCTCCTGCTCTCCACGCCATGAGGCAGATCCCGCACGACTGCTCACAGACCACCCAAGGACTCCCGCTGCCCCCAGCACCAGCCCAGGGGTGGGGAAAGAGGCACAGGTGTGCGACAAGGATGGACCCGGTGAGGACACAGACTCCTGGCTGCTGTTCAGCCTCTCTGTCCAGGGTAGCCAGCTTGGCCTCCCCCTCGCAAAGCGGGGTCACACAGTACCCCCAAGGACACCGCTGGGCCCAGCAGCCAGAGCTCTGCTTTTAGAATCCTTTATTTTGAGGAAACTGTATCTATAAACACCATTAGCTAAGAACACAGTGACATCCTGAGGTCCCACATCCCTCTGCCCAGTCACCCTCTCTAGGGGAACTGGAGTTTAGTATCAGCTCAGAACAAGGAAAGGAACACAGTGTGCACGCAAGCGTGCGTGTGTGCACGCACAAGCCACACACGCCAATACACACGTCCATTCATAACACGTGTGCAGGCCCCATGGACCACTCGTTCCCTGTGGCCACATCCACTCAGGGGGTTCCTCAGTGGGCAGGGAAATCAAATGCTGAGGCCCGGGTAGGGGCAGCATACATAGCCCCACCCTGCCCCCAGGGACACCAAGGCCACTTGGAGCACCCCCCGCTAGCTCCTGCTGGCCTAGGAGAGGAGACTTCGGACAGCCACCAATAAGCATTCCGTGTCCTGTGCAAGCCCAGGAAGACTGCCACTCGGCAAGAGGCAGGCCCTGCCTCCACGGCAATGCCAGGCCCTGCAGGGGACGGCACCCCATGAGAACACACCTGGAACATGGGAGCCCCTGTGTGAAGAAGGCAGGGATGGAGACCAGGCCAGAACTCAAACCCGAGCTTATCTGAGAACCCCCCCATCCCAGGGCTCCGCTTGGTTCCCAAGCCGCACCTAAGCCTGCCACAGGCCTGACCACGACAGTTCCACAACACATCACTGCAGGCCAGACAGGGGTGTCAAACCCTGGCCCCTGCAAGTGCTGATGGCGCCTACCCTGCACTCCCAGGCCTGTTCATTGGCTCCCTAAGCCACACAAACTACGGCGTGGGGACCACCGCACGTCCATCTGCCAGATGGGAAAACTAAGGCTGAGACAGGAAGCTGCATGCCCAGGCAGAAGAGGGTGCACTGCCGGCCAGTCTGCCTAAGTCCAACCCACATCCACGCCTCCTTTCCATCCGCTATTGCCATCATGCATGGCCCTCACTACTGCCCCACTTCACACACTGGGAAACCGAGGTGAGGGAGAGAACCAAGGCCACTGGGAAGCCCCACCCCACCCACGTCCGGCCAGGACGGTTCAGGTCCCCTGCAGCCAGCCGCCCTCCCACCTGGCGCACCCAGGCCTTGGGACAAGTCCCTCCCTCGTCCCCAGCTCACAACTGAGGGCTCCTTGTGAGCGCAGGGAGCTCCGCCAACTTTCCAGCATTGCTCCGGCTCCCCTGCCAAGGCCCCGGGCAAGCCTGGGCCGGTGGCACTGATTTGAAACCAGACGGAGGCATGGAGCCAAGAGCCACCTCGGCGGGGAGCCGGGCGCGGGGCCGGGTCACAGCACTGCACCTGGCCTCCCAGGCACAGCCCACCCCGGCCCGGCCAGCCTGGGGATACCACATGACAAGTCCCCACCCCAGCGCTCTTTCTGGACTTCAACAACTTTGTCCGATTAGACCAGACACCCCAGCCATTGTTCCGCGAGCGTGGGGCCAGCCACACAGCCACCCTGCCCAGTGACCATCCAGGCCCACAGTCTGGCTGGCCCGCATCCACGGGGCCCCAGAACTGGCCCAGGCCACCACAGCCAAGACAGGATGGGGGCTCCATGCAGGGAACTGCAGGGACCCCTGTGTGGTGTCCCCAGCCCACACCCCACAAGCCACAGCCCCCCGCCTGTGGTTACCTCCCCCAGGCCCAGGGACAGGGCCGCAGCATCCCTGCCCACCACGGAGCCCACAACTTCTCTTACCAAGCACACGCGTGGCCTTTGCTGGCCTTGGCCACAGACAACTTGACGGAACTCTGCACACAAAGGGGGTGCGGCGGTCAGCGGACACGCCCGATGGCCTGGGGGTTGCCCCCTGCACCCCGTGCCCGGCCCATCCTGCCGGGCCGGCACTGCACTGCACAGCACAGCACACACGGAGGCCGCTCCCTTCCCGCGAGACTTGGGCTCCCCGGTTCGGGAGGTGCTGCAGGAGAGGCGGCTGGGTTGGTCCCCCCCAGCTTCCGGCCCAGCGGTCCCCCGAAAGCACGGCAGGCCAAGGCCCACTGGGGACAACGTGCGGGGCTGCCAGAGCCCACCGCAGGCCACCACCACCCAGACGCGGCCTCCACGGCGCTCACTGCTGCACTCTGGGCCTATAAACACAGGGAATTACATAAGTCCACCCCTCTTGTTTGGAAGCCAAAAGTACAAGCTTTCTCTCCCGGCCCTGGCAGTAAGTAATAATTCCTCATCGCCATGGTAACCCTGGCGGGCCTCCAGCCGACTCGGGCTGAACACTGCGAGGCCTTTTTATAGCTCGGCTAGCAAACCTCTTCACTCTGCGCCGGCAGGCGGACCAGCGCCAGCCCCGGCGTCCCCTCCTTTAACCGTTTCCTCCCAGCCGGTCGGCCTGGCGCCCCAGAGCGGTCACTGTATGGGAGCCGGAGGCTGGCACTGCCCGTCCTCAGTCCCAGGCCTCAGCAGCAGCAGCCCTGTGTCTCTCTCCTCCTTTCACTCTCAGAGGAAGAAAACAAGGCCTGGGGTTCTGAACCAGGCCCATCTCAGGGAGAGGCCTGGGAAAAAGGCACAGCTGGACACACACGTGTACACAGACACACACGCACACACATACACACAGGATGCTAAGGTGGCGTGGGGGTCCGCCAACAGCCAGACTCCCACCCATGTGACTCTGGAACACGCCTGAGCGCCTCCCGTGTCAGCTGCAGCCGAGTGAGGGGCTCTGGGGCTTAGGAACTCCAGGACAAGGACCAGGACCAGGGCCAGCTGTCAGGAAACACAGGTTGGCAGAACAGTCCCAGGTCCGGAGCCCGGCCGGCTACCCAGCACCAGGCTCTGTGTCCTTCGTGGTAGCGCGTGGTCACGTACCAACGCAGGGGTCCAGCCGGTGTGGGCCCCACATCCGCACCACATATACTATGCTGTGGTTGGCTCAGAAAAGCTGAGCGCAGTCCCCATGCCAGACCAGGGAAACTGAGGCACAGAACAAGGCAGCCAGCTTGAAGCCCAACAATGGTCCAGGCAGGGCCTTGGAGCCGAGGGAGGGCCAGGAGCTCGTCCTGATGCACTGGAGCTGGCTGGGTCGGCGCAGGCTGAATGCCATGCAGCGTCACTCTGCAGCCACCTGCGGTCATCCTCCCCGCAGATGCTAAGCAGTTTAACGTTCGCCGAGCGACTTGATGACGACGATAAATCATGGAGACCCAGAAGCAGCCTTGCAGAGAGCCAGGCGCGCAGCGAGGCAGTGTGTGGCAAGCCGTTCAGCAGATGCGTTCTTCTGCCCCTGACCAGCAAGTCCCAACAGGCCACTGCCAGGGCCTGCCTGCTCGCAACCAATACAGAGCCAGGGGGCACTGGAGTCGTAGTGGTGACACAGCAGGTTCGGAAGAGACCCAAGCCAGGCTTGGTACACGCCTTGTAATCCCAGCACTCCAAGAGGCCGAGGTAGAAAGATCACACCCTGGAGAGACCTCCAGTGACTCAGGATCTGTCTCAAAGTAAATGAATGAAACGTACGTAACAAAGGGATGGGGATGCAGCTCGGGGCACAGGCCCTGCCTTCAATCCCTGTACTACACACAAAACAAGAACCAGAAAAAAGACTTGGGCCCCATGGCCCTGGCCAGGTGCCCGTGTCCAGGGCACCAGCTATGCGCTGTCCAGTAGGGCCTGCCTGCTGCTACACAAGCCCCCACATGGGGCATGGTGCTGAGAGACAGTTTTAAGACACAAATCCACACAACAGAATGAAATTCTGTCCTAGACAGGAACGAGCCTGGTGTCATACACTTGGAATCCCAGCCCTCTGGGAGGCTGAGGCAGGAGGATTCCAAGTTTGAGCTCTTTCTGGGCAACTTAGGCCCTGTCTCAATAAAAAATGAAAGGGGGCAGAGAGACGCCAGAGATATAGTCAGTGCAAAAAGCCTTGGGGTGAATCTGCAGGAGCTCCCTCCCACACAGGAATGTAGCCTTGACCCAGGCTATGGGGAGACAAACACAGAAACACAGTACTAGGGCCAGCCAAACAACTCAGGGGACTAAGGCGCCTGCAAGCAGGCGCAGGGGCCGGGGATTCGAGCCCCGGGCCTGCCATGCCATCATCACTCCAGGGCATGCAGCGACGGCAACTGCGCGGTGGCGCGCGCTCATAATCCCCACTCGTGGGGGGCTGTAAGTAAGCAGATCACTACGAGTCCTACCTAGTAGTGAGACCCTGAACAGCCTGTAGACCCTTCCCTAAAAAGAAAAAAGAAACAGTACTTTGGACAAGAAGCTTGACACAAAAACACCCATGTGACCCTAGATACCACACACGTGCAAAGAAACTCAGGGACATCAGGCCGGCCGGCCGACCAGAGACTGCCAGGGCCCACAAGGGGTGACAGGACCCCTCACTAGACCAGGCTTCCTTGGGGTGGAGAGGACATTCTGAAGCAGCCAGAGGCGCAACATCACAAAAAACTACAAGCTAACAAGTGCTTGCCAGCTTAGGGCAGCTCATTTCACATCAATGAGCCCAGCCCCGGAAGAGGAAAAGATGGACCTGCTGCGCTGCTCCCAGCCTCTCCCAGCCTCCGCCTGGACCTCCTACCAGGCAGACTAGGGCCCTGCCCAGGAATGGGCACTCACAGAGCCCGGCCATGCGCCCCAGGCACTGGGAAGCCAGCGGTCATGAGGGCTCCGAAACCCTGTGTGGATGAACATGGAATTCACAGCGTGGAGCGGCTGCAGGAAGCCATCACGAGGGCTGGCTCCTAATAGCAGCCCCTCACCGTCCTCGGCCACGGCCAGAAATCCCCACCAGGCGCCATGTCACCTGCTGGTGGCCACGCTGCCCTGGCCTCGTCTCCCTCCACAAAGGTGGCTCTGGGTGTCCTCTTCTTTCGGGCCTGGAGTGACCCAGCGAGCTCATCCCAACCATGGCAACACTGGCCAAAGCCCTGTCTGCACAAGGCCAACAGCACACGGCTTCACGGGCACACACTTCACTCAGCCCACGGCCCGCCCAAGACTCTCTCAACTTGGAGGCCCCGAGCTATCCCTCGCCCCTACCCCTGTCTGAGGACCCTGGCTACTGCCGCAGCTGGAAGGGGGCCAGAGGAGAACCAGTCCGTCATTCTGTCAGTCTGTCGGTCTGTCTGGCCGCCCCAGCAGCTGTGTGAGCAGTGCCTAGTCTAACCTTAAGGCCCTCAGTATCCACACCTGCAAGCTGAAAACAACTGCCAGGGCAGCGGCGGCAGGAGTAGGGACCCACACCTGGGTGGCAGCAGCCAGCTAGGACACCCACACTGGCCAGGCTCCCTGCATCCACTGCAATCACACAAAGTGCTGTTATCCCCATAACTCAGATGAGGAGACTGAGGCATGAGGCCATGAAGTGGCACCAACCACTAGCCATCCTGGCCTCTCCGTCCCCATGAGGACCCATGGCACACAGTGCAAACACCGCCTCCTGACTTCTGGACTGGCATCTGCAGAGACATCAGATGTGACTTCCTAAGACTAGGAATTTCTGGAAAACTCCACAGGACCTGCTTTTTCCCAGCTGCTCTCAGAAAATGATGGACACCTGCGGAGTTGTTTCACTCTCCCTCCAGACAGCAAACTCCCCAAACAAACGTGGTCAGCATGCAGACCGCTCCCTGAGCACATGGGCTAGTCGGCAACCCTGGACAAAGGGAGAGAGCTGGCACTGAACTTGACCTTGGCCTCTGCCCTGGAGGTACAGGAACCTGAGGGGCTCAGACAGCCTCAGGCCAAGAGCCAGGCAGCATCAGTGCAGTCTGCACCAGCCTGCAGCATTCCTGGATCCCACAAGCAGGGCCTGCCTCTACAGGGAGACCAGACCAGGGCCTCTCAACCCAGAGCAGCAGCCGTGGGCTGGAGGCTGGGACGGCTCTGCAGCGAGCGGCTGCCGCAGCAGGAACACGGGCTACGGGCCTCAGGGTGGCACCCGCGCAGCAGCACAAGCTGAAGGCTGCCTGGTCCAGCGCCTGCTGCACCGCCCTAGGTGGCTCACCTGACCTCTCTGTGCCCTCAGTTTCCCTGCCTGGCCAATCAGAACAGCACCCACCAAGGAGCTTCCACGGGAGCCGATTGCGGCGTGACACACTTAGTGCACAGCCTGATACGAAGCAGCACCAGGACACGTCGGCATCACTGGACATTAACACGGACGGTGACGAGCCGGGCTTGGTGGCACAGCCCATAATCCCAGCACTCGGAAGTCTGAGGCAAGATCGTTGCAAGTTTGAGACCCGCCGGGACCACAAAGTGAGCTCAAGGCAGCCTGCGCTGCATACTGAGACCCAGTCTTGAAAAGAAGAAGTGGTGATGACAAGGACAGTCTCACGTAGCACCAAGGTCAGTGTAGTTTTCACACTAAACACAGCACTTGTGCACCTTCTGCACACTGATCCCTCCAAGGAAGGTGCAGCCCCCTCTGCTCTGCCAGGCAGACCCCCAGGACTGCTCTGTCCCAGAACTGTCCGCAGCAGCCAGAGCCCAGGAGTGCACCTGCCACTGCACAGCCGCACCAGAAAAGCAAGGTGATGGGACTGAGTCCTGGGCAGCCGGGAAGGAAGAGGTAAGAGCCCTGGCTGGGATGCAGGTGTCACAGACCAGAGACACACCAGGCATGGTGGCACACAGTGACCCCAGCACTGGGAGGCTGAGACAGGAAGATCCCTGCAAGTTTGAGGCCAGCCTGGGCTACACAGTAAGTTCAAGGCCAACCCTGTCTCAAAGGCCTCCCTAGTCAAAAAAGACCAGCGACACAGGTGAAGTTACACCAGCACAAACAATCCCTTCATAGCTGGGGTGAGTTCCTATGGGCCGAAAACGCCCCAATTCCCACACAGGATAGCCCGGAGGCTGACGCAGGAGAAGCCAGGCTGTGTCACCTCTCTCTGTGCTCCGTGTCCTCGTGTAAGGACCATGGTCACCCACACCTCACAGGTTCTGGAGTTACATACACTGCAGCAGGTGGAGCACAACACAGCTGGCATCATGAGCCGGGGTTACTGTCACCGCAGTCATCTGCACCAATCGATGTCCAACTGGACAAGACTTAGAAACCCAGACATGATATGAAGTCAAGGCCACCCAAGTCACC